GGGAGGGAATGCCACTTTATGATTTAGTTCCAAGGAATTGTATTATCCCATGTATATGAGAATTTCTTTTCATATGAAACGTAAGTAGAGGATCGGAGAGCTGTTTTTTCTGGTCACTATCACTTCTCTCATTATTTTAGGGGTACCATTTATTTCATCATTTATCAATTTGACACAAGAATGAAACAAATGCACAATAACAGTTGTGATCCCTTCTGATATACAGGTAGTCAATTGATGAATCTAGAAAATACAAATAGAATTAATATTGCAAATTATAATGTAATCATTAAGTGTTTAATTTTTTTTTGTCTTGTATTTTTAGTTTGATGCATGAACTCGTCTGTAATGTTTCATGTGTTTTTGAATTATGAATAAAAAAAAAGTCTTACCGAGAAAAATAAAAAAAACAATCTAAAATAAAATCGTAGTTTATAATTTATTTATAAATTTTTAAACCATATATTACGGTATCCTACCCGGTGAAGCAGATCATTTGCGGCCCTTGACCTTCTAGAACCAAGCACATTTATTCAGACTCTTTGTTATTCTTAAAAATTCACATTTTGTGCATTAATTGAAGTAAGTATTACAAAATGAAATACATACCACCGCATGGTAATTTTCCAAGTGTAATATTGATCCTAACAGTTAACCTTTGAACTTCACCAGGATTATCAACAAACAGTTCACTAACTCTGTGGGAAAAACATAATATAAAATCATCATAAATTATGGTAACCTAAATATAGAAAGCCAAATTTCAGCTTTATTATTTCTGTTAAAACTATTATTTTATTAATTTATTCGTTACTGGCCAACTCCCTTGCTGTTAAAACAAAATGTACGGATTAACTTACGTAAAATGACCACAACTAGTTAATACTTACACTTCTGGTGAAACAAAAAATCTAAACTCAGATACTAACAGGAAAGTAATAAACAAAGCACTTAGAACAGAAACTGAAAAAAACAACAAAAGAGAGGTAGGAATAATTAAATATGTGAGGAAAATCTGTTACATTTTATATTGAACATTTTTAAATTCCAGGTATACTTGAAAAATATTTAATATTTCAGGGTAACATTACAAAAATGTCTATAAATTTTAATACTAAAATGAATCACAATTCATTTGCTATCCAGGCGTGTAATGATGTATGAGGTAGGTGGGGGAAGTGTGTGTGTGTTTGTGGGAGAGGTGGGGTGTTAAATGATTCTCTTACCAAGTGCACCTGCAAAGGTCGGCTGGGTCAGGTCCTTTGGAACTTTTCTATATATATCAAGTCTATACCAAAAAAAAAAAAAGAATAAAAATCATGTTAAAATATGCCTGTATATTCTTGGATTAAGAACAAACCTTGTAATGTTATTTGTTTTTAATCTGTATCAATTACTTGTATATCATTATAATAGTATTATTATATATAATATTTATAATATAATCCTTTTTTAGCACATCTGTTGTAAATGAAAAAATTCAAAAATTTTGGGCAAAAAACAATGGGCGGATTCATATTCAGTGATTATTATGAGAATTAATAACTAAATATTAATGGGCCTGGTGGTAGGGTAGTAGGGCTAAGCATGTATCTGTATTTTTAATAAATAATAATACAAATAGGCTGCGATAAATTTAAAAATAAGGTTAGACTTGCCTAGGCCAGGGGCTATCCATAACAGGCAGCAGGCTCGGTTCTGTATTTTTTAGTATGCATGTATGATAGTTTGATTCAGATTTCATCCATAGGCCTAGACCTACGCATTAGGCTAGACAGACTGAGCCTACCACCACCAAGGCAATGATTGGCAATGCTAGGCCCCGTACTCGTAGACTAGCGAGGCAAGCCGCCTACCTAGCGGCTGTTTGATAACTTTTTTAGTCTAATTAGTAATAATTCCAGGCCTAGGCGCGCCTGTAGGCCCCTAACCCCAATGACTGCCTTTCTTATGACATGTGCCTACGCATCATTTACGGTACACACAATTTACCTTCGAACATCAAACACCATCGTGCACGGGGACTATGTACAACTTACGAAAATGTATAACTTTAAACTAAGCAGGTAAATAACAACACAACGGCAATACCAGCCAGTCTATCCTATATTGTGTTGTCGCTGGGCCGGGTTGGGTCACGGTCGGGATAAATAAATAACCTCAAACACATGGTTTCCTATGATTGGTCAATTTGTGTTAGTCTTTTTATTCAGCAATGTGATGTGTCGACAGTAATAATGCTGGTTAAAGAGGCTTAAACACATTGACCAATCAGGTGAAGTTGTAAAAATCGACAATCCGTACGAATCAATGTATTTATCCCAGTTTTATCCAGATATCAAAAGTAACAGCCACGTGGCTGAATTGCATGATACATTCAAGATTAATCTAAAAATCGGACATAACCACAAAAATAAAATAATAAAATAAAAATTTTGAATAGCTCATTTATTAAAGAATAAAATAAATGTATTAACTACTTTCAACCAGAAAAAGATCGAAACAAATTAGCTTTTGCTGAATGGCACTATATACAGGACCAACGGGCGTCTCATCCGAAAGACGGTGCGCTATTTTAACCAGGGTGCAATAGCAATATCAAGCCTATGTTGTCGATGGGCCGGGTTGGGTGACGGTATAACCACAAACACATGGGTTCCTATATTTTGTCAATTTGTGTTAGTCTCTTTATCAAGCATTATGATGATGTGCCAACAATCATGCATGTTAAATTGTCAAATTCGACAATGTATGCTATTCATCTCATTTCAGTTTTTTCCCGATATTAAAAGCCAACCAAGTGGCTGAATTGTATGATATTAAGTTAAAAGTAATCTAAAACACAAACAAAAAACCACAAACAAAAATTAAATTAAAATTTTAAATAGGCCTAGCTCATCTATAAGGATGAAAATATAAAGTATTAACTTCCAAACAGGAACAGATCGAAACAAATTATTTTTGGCTGATTACTAGGCAAATTAATTTAAGGGTCTATTGTGCAAAAGAGCAGAGCAAATGAAATTGACGGTATTTTCCCCTTATTCACTTATTGTCAGTTAATACAATAACTTAATTAGGGCCTAAATATACAAAAAAAATATACAAATTAAACAACAAATATTTTTTTTCTGTTGTTTAGCTCATGATGGCAGTCATCTTTAAAAATAAAAAATATATATATAATACAATAATCATTAATTATTAAATGGGGAAAATAACCTCAGCAACCAAAAACATATTATGAATTTCGGGAATGTTGTGCGGCTGGTTATCAGAAAATAACGTTAACGGTTTCAAAGCACCAACGGAGTACGGCAGGCATTAAAAAATCAGTCTATTATAATTCTAGTAGGGGAAAGGGGGTGCCTCAAATTTACTAGCTTAGTACAAAAGTGAAGTTAAATCAGTTGGTATGGCGGTATCAAGAGTCTACACTACGTGCTCAAATGCATATGTGCCTTATCCAGAAACTAACTGATATAGGAGTTGAGTCAATAATAAGAGTCCACAATTTGTAAGTAAGTAAATTCGATAGGCCACAAAAAAGTTATGGCAGACGATGTAGCTCCAGTGTCGGGGAGCGGCAAAGACCCCCAGATTATACGATTGGCACCTAAAATTGGTTTAGCGGCAGGCGTTTCCATTAATGTCGGTATTATGATAGGATCTGGAATTTTCATCTCACCCAGAGGAGTTCTGGAAGGGGCAGGATCGGTTGGTATGACATTGATAGTGTGGCTGATGTGTGGGGTATTTTCTGGGCTGGGTGCACTGTGTTACGCTGAACTTGGCACTATGCTTCCCAGGTCGGGAGGAGCATATGCATACATCAAATACATATACGGTGATTTGTGGGGATTCATCCTGCTATGGGTTAGTATTGTAATGCTGATGCCAGTGTCTTTTGCTGTTATCGCATTGACCTTTGCTTACTACTGCGTTCAACCTTGGTTTCCGGACCCTAATTGTGACCTACCTGCATCAGCAATAGTGTATGTCGCAATAGCCTGTTTGGGTGAGTACTGAAATTTATCTTACTGAGCATATATATATATATTCCATAACAGGGTTATGGAATAGTAATGATTATTAATTGGCGCCCGAGTCCAAAAATCTATCATAACCTAAGCTTCGAAAAATTGAAATTTATGGGTCTACGTAACCTGTAATAAACGTCGTTTGATACAATTAATGAGAATGAAGACAAAGTGTCTTCAAAATGAGGACGGTCAGCAACTCAAGTACCCAGTGGACAGCCAGCGCAACACAGATTCATTGGCGTAAACCTGGACACTCACTCCGCCCGAAGGTCGTCGGTCGACGCGATTCTATGAAGAACATAACGCCATGACGCGCGCGCAACGGATCGTTTCTAATGACGATCCGTTAAGACAGCCACCCACCAAGTCAAGCGCTCAAAGGGAGCGGAGTTGGATTCGTCAGCCGACGGTCGTACGAGCGAATGCCCGGCTTTAATCAGCGAACAACTCATCACGTATACCACCATGCACCATCGCAATATGCCACCACTACATTTTATATCCTATGTCAAGATCGGATAGATGGAAAATGATGGTGACTGATAACAATATTAATATTTTGTGACAATGGTAAAGCTAGTCGAAGCAGTTTTATTTTATTTCATCCAAGTCCAACAGTGAATAATAATAATAATAATAATAATAATAATAATAATAATAATAATAATAATAATAATAATAATTATATACATATATATATATATATATATATATATTCTAATATTAATATATATGTATATATGAATATAAAAAGTTATGAGGAACTAAATATTACTAACATTGGACAAAACATTTTGGCGAAAACACATAAGAGAATCACAGAAAAATAGAGTCAATAGAAAAATCAATATTTTACATAAAGAATTGTATAACTTAGGCAGACTGATTGATAAACTTGTTATTAGTAACGTTGACTCTCTCTCTCCCCCTAGAATGAAAAAAAAGAACAGGATTACGTAATTGATATTGTGGTACAGAAAGAGGAAAACGAACTGCAAAATTTCCATCGTAGATGGCATTCATACATTTAAAAAGAAAAATTAAATCAAAAAGTTTCGGCGGTCAGCTAATGGGGTTAAATGATCCATCAGTAAATATTGTTTTATAGACCATTAACTAAAGATGACCCGACAATGGCGATTATAATTAAAACACTGAGTGTGTCATAACTATATCCGCCGTTTTTCTTTTTTATAGTCTTACTCACATTTGTGAACGCTTGGAGTGTTGGCTTCGCAACCAGGATACAGATAATTTTTACTGTTGCCAAGACAACCGCATTAGGTTTAATTATTGTACTTGGACTCATCCAAATTTGCAAAGGTAGGCATTAGCTGAAATGCTTCAGGCATTTCATTTTTATTATTTTTATAATAATAATAATAATAATAATAATAATAATAATAATAATAATAATAATAATAATAATAATATTCCGATAAGCAGTGGCTCTTGACAAAAAGAATAAGTAAAAGGAAAGGAAATGTTGTTTTAAAACTACTAATACAAATATAGTAGTTGTACAGGGAGCAGTTATATTCCATGTGCATAATTATGTAAGCTTTATGTGTATGCAGCAGTATCAGGGGCGTATTTGGGGTGGGGGATAACCCTGTTACCCCTACACTTTTTTGGAAAAAAATTAATAAAATGATCGCCCAAAACGCCTCAGATGTTATTTTGAGCCTCAAGAAAACAAAAATTTCCGACCCCTAGGGTAGTGTTATCTCTATCGGCCTCACTTTCGGCGACCCTTTCCCCCCACACCCCACCACCCCTTCTCGAACATCTCTGGATCCGCCCACGAGTAGGTCTACGGTACCGTACGTTTTAATTGTAAGGTATCATTCTAATTAGCGCCTATACTTGCATTATTAACCCCTCCCCCAAGTGATTGTTGCTGATTCGATTTTCTTCAGGAGAAGTTGAGAGCTTCAAGGAACCTTTCGCCAAAACTACATGGAATCAAATTGGAGTTGCTTTTTATGCTGGACTGTTTTCATATACTGGTTGGTATAGTCTGAACGTGGTTGTGGAAGAAATAAAAGACCCATACAGGTAATACTGATAATGACGACAATAACAATAAAAAAATAATAATAAAAGATAATATTGATAAAAGATAATACTGATGATAATATTATCAATAATAAGATAATAATAAAAGATAATGATAACGATAATGGCAATGAACCTCGGAATGTATTTTCTTTAGTTTGGTCCAATAAATAATAATAATTTTCTCCTTCGCAAATTTACTTCCCCTTTAAAAGTATTACTCAGCCATGAGGCCTTTCCACGTGCAAAGGGACTTTCCCTTGCGCATGCTCTTAGTGGAATTTGTAAACTTGCCACGCATGCACTCAATGTATAATGAATTCAATGTTATTCTACAGAAATCTTCCCCGTGCCATCATCATATCTATCACGACAGTCACGTGTATCTACGTGCTCACCAACATGGCATACTTCGCAGCAATGTCTCCTGCAGAACTACTTGCATCAGATGCAGTTGCGGTTGTAAGTACAAGACTTAGTGCCTGTTGTTACCGTAAATGTTTTAATATTACACTATAATAATAATAATAATAATAATAATAATAATAATAATAATAATAATAATAATAATAATAATAATAATGATAATGATAATAATAATAATAATAATAATAATGATAATAATAATAATAATAATAATAATAATAATAATAATAATAATAATAATAATAATAATAATATTAATAATAATAAAAATAATAGTAATAATAATAATAATGATAATAATAAGAATAAGAATAATAATAATAATAATTTACTTTTACACAAATAGTATCACAGCGCTAAAAGGTAGTATTGTACTATAATTTTACCTTCTAATAATAACTTACATACATTTCCACCAAAAATAGTTAGGGGCCTACAATCACAACAACAATAATAACAATATAGCGGTACATTCTAATAATCTAATAATGTTATAGAAAAGTATATCAGTAAAAAAAAAAGTTATCAGTCTAGTAATCCTCATCAATGTTATGTTTTTTCAAAAAGACGTTTGGAAGAAAGTTAATGGGAGATTTTGCTTGGATCATGCCATTGGCAGTAGCGCTGTCAACATTTGGATCTGTGAATGGTATGCTGTTATCGGATTCAAGGTATACCTAAAAACTAAGTACTCTAATATTGTATAGACCTAGCACAAACCTTTATTATGATAAACATAGTTTTGTATCTGTAACGTGTGTGCTCAGAATCATGATCGTATACAGCGGAGTACGTGTTGCTTCGTGGAGATGCTTGCCTCCATGCACGTAAGCGAAACCGTCAACAACAACAACAACAATAAACACATTTTTTTTATCTAAAAATAAAAAGAAATTTCTGTCATATCGTATACGGAAATTATTTGACTTTTGTTTAACTTTTTATTCCAGAATCTTCTTCGTAGGGGCGAGAGATAGACAACTGCCGACATTTTTATCCATGATCAACATTCACCATATAACACCGACGCCCGCTCTGCTATTCTCGGTAATAATTGTATATTTTAGTTTAATGTACATGTAGGCCGTACACAAAAGATAACACAGGTAATGATAATAATAATAAGCAATGGTATAACATATGAGCTCTCTCTGGCTAAAGCGCGGGGGGGGGGGGGGAAGAGACAGATCTTAAGGAGGGCTGTCTTTTTTTTCCAGGGCCATGGCCCCAAATCTGACGAGCGGGACCTTTTAATCAGCAGATGTGCAAAAAATCATCAAAATACGTCCTTAAAAACGCAGGCCCGGAGCGAACAGAGCTTTGTACCCACAGGAAACCTGATGTGCGGCTCCCAAGGTAGGATCGAAAGAATTTTTTGCCAGGGGCTTCAGGCCACATTGCTACACCCCTGATGGTATACTAATAACACAGATCTCCCTCCAATTAAAGACCAATTTTGAGACCGGAGGTCCCAGTGATCTTTGGAAGATTTCTCTAAATTAGAATAATTAATAATAATTAATAAAAGGTATTTGTTAATTTAGGACACAGAAAAAATTTGGTCTTTTTTAGATTTTTAGATTAAGATTTAATTGAAGGTGACCTTTAATTTGAGGGGGATTTAATTAGAGGGAGGCCTGTAATAATGATAATAATAGTAATGATAATAACAATAATTGTAATAATATTAATATTATTTGACATCAATTACGTTGCCGACAATTTCATTTTAATTATCTGCTTTTCTCCTCAGTGTACATTATCGATTATTTACGTGTTTTCAAATGATGTTTATCAGTTAATCAACTACTTCAATTTTGTCGCATGGACATCCAGCGGATTTGCAGTTGGCGGATTGTTGTATTTACGTTGGAAAACAACTATTCCTCGACCTTATAAGGTGAATCAAAGCAAGTCATTTAGTAACAATAAATAACAATACTAATAATACTACTACTAATAATAACAACAATAACAACAACAACAATAATAATAATAATAATAACAAATAATAATAATAATAATAATAATGATGATGATGATGATGATGATGATGATGATGATGATGATGATGATGATGATGAAAATAATAATATGGCCTACCAATACCAATAATATTATTGATAATAATACAATATTAACGGTTAATGACATTAATTATATTACATTTGTACCGTTACATGTTTCAGGTGAACGTGGTTATACCTATTATATTTATTGTATCCTGCATAGCTCTAGTCATAGCTGGAACCCTTGCCGAACCGATTGATACGTTGATAGGTCTTTCGATAACATGCACGGGATTCCCAGTATACTACATTAAAGGGCGTAAGCAACCTGAGCGGATTGCATCTTTATTCAGTAAGTTTATTACATTTAGCAATAAGAAAGTTTATCTGCGTAGCAAAAAGTGTAAATACTCTGTATAGTGGAAAACATTCCTTATCCGGGATTCGAACCCAGAACCTTCTGCTGCATATGTTGACGACTTAGGCAATTGGACGACTTGGGGCTTCACTGGGACTTCGAATCCGATAGGCACTAATATTTCACATTATTTTGCAGATTCGTAATGGAACAGCACTAGTTCGCGATCCATTGCAAATAACAGACATTTTAGAATTTTAAACGAAAAGAGATCTCCAAAAAGATTACTTTATAACTAAATCATAGTAAAGACAATATATATATATATATATATATGTATATATATATATATAATTAATTCGCTCTAGTGTTATTACCATTGAGCACTCTGCTGGTGATACTTGCAACTCGTTAACCCTATATAAATATATATATAATATATATATATATAATATATATGTAAATATAGGCCTATTTATAAATCATCGAAGGTGTATATACTTAGTCTTACATTATCATAAAAAATAAACACATCGAAAATATCGACAATAGACAATTGAATGAGTCATAGACATTAGATATATTTCATTGATTTCATGTTGACATCATTATTTCTATTCGTAGAACGGGTGACAGACTTTTTGCAGAAATATCTTTTAGTAGTTGCTGAAGAACCAGCAACTTCAGAGAAAGCGATTGAGCTGAATACGGATTATGTGGTCACGGCCAACAGTTATCGTACACGAAAGTTGGATCTCGCCCTGACCTGAAATCAACATTATATTTTTAATTACCGCACCGAAGAAACGTCAATCAACTACAGGCAATATTCTTGTAGTGTAATTATAAAATATTATATATCACGTGAATAGTTCGTGATCAAGGTACGTGGTTCAGGGGTCGTACAATCGTTTCAGCTTTTGGAATATTCCATTTCATCACAATGTGTGATGTAGGTTACAAAATACAATATGCACTGAATGATTTTGATATGAACAATAGTTATTAAATGTTTGTAGCAACAATAAAGTTTATAATAAAAATTAAGACATCGCTAACTGTATTTATTTTATGTATTTTAAGTCGGAGTATAACAATTACATTCTCATCGTCTATTTAACACCCCTTCAAGAACGATCCATTACATGGTACGTGCAATCAGTATCGTACAACGGAAAGATTTTGCAATACTACATGACAGTTTGTTCCGTTGCTAAATTGAATGTTGTGCTTTTAGTTTAAGACATATGTATACTATGGCGGAGAAGGCATATAACGCTCAAAAGATGACCAAGAAAAGGTAATGTACATAATAGTATAATTTATTTCGCAAAAGACTGTGTCCATTGTTTAATATTTGCAGAAAACGCACAGAAAATTGTGCTACGGTATTGACTATTGTAGACTGTATTACTACTCCAGCCTGGGCGTCCGCTCTTTCTTTATACAAAGGACGAATGGCTATTGTGTGCTAAGGTCAGGCCTTGTTAGTAGTTCAATATATATTTTTTTTCTAGGAATACAGTACAATGTATTGTTTTTTCTCCAGCTACAATAGGCGAAGGCTTAGTTCAGCTTAAGTATGTGTATACATTAGAGCATTTTATTACTGCCTTATTTATATCACGTCTGCTGTGGTCACTCAACCTCATCTTCCTATCAAAATTGCAAAGCGTTTTTGATCAGTCCTCCAAAATTGTAATTGTTTCAAGTCCCCTCTACCTAAATACTCCAAACATACATTATGATATTATTTTTTAATGACATAATAATCTAGGCCTTTGATGGAGTAAACGTAACAATGCCTCTCCTTTATTCCAGACCTTCCACTGATGATATGCATTTAGTAATGTGCAATATAGACGTAGGTGCAAAACGGTTAGCAAGGTCAGGACATGTGAAAATTGTACTGGATGACATCACCATGCAGCAAAACCAATCTCCTCCAGCAGAGGACATTAAGAATGATTCCAGTGATCAAGATTCAGTTTGGGGACCCATCTTCAAGAACCGCGAGACTTTTGTGGAAATGCATCTCTTCTGAAGTGAAAACTCAGAAATAATCATCATCTTTATAAAGTATTTTTATTGCATGGTAGTGTAGATACTGTGCATTCAGAAAGTCATCAAACAACGTTTAGTGGAACTATTGGACTGAACATATACGCCAAATTTAATTTCCTTTGTGGAGCCTTGCATCCGGTTTTCTGAACATAGTTCAGCACGAAATGACAGTTTGTTATGGTGCTGAACTCACTCGCCAAGTGATCTATAAGGACAAGTAACAGCAACAATCGCTATACTATATCGTACGTTATATTTTGAGAAAATTATTATATCCTTTAACTCAAAAAGACATGTTAGATTATGTTTTATAAAAGTGTCATTTATTGAAATTTCTTGATAATTCTAATAAAAATTGTATTTGATTTGGGAAATTTATCGTTTTGGTGTTGAATATAGTTGGTAAGACTGCAAAAAATCCGGTAGACTCATATAAGAGCGCAAAACGCTGTCCATTGAAAATAATATTGATTTTTGAGTAGCAATACAGTATTGAAATGCCTGGTAAAAATATTTATGCTACACTCAGGCTAAATAAATTTCACAAAAGAACAATGCATATGAAAGGACGAACATGCAAATAAATATAGGGGAACCGTTGGCGATTAAGATGCTTGCCTTCCAATCCCAGGTGCTTCGGTTCACATTCTCTCACACCAGGATTTTTGCCCAAGACTTAAGCTCAGCCTGCCCACACTATCAGATGTGACAAATAATCTCCAAGATGTGTTATTGTATTAAAAGATAATAGGATAATCAATCAGCTGACCTTCTGGCAAAGCTGGGAGGATCCCCCTCTCTAAGCAATTCCACATGGCTTCTTTAATGTTTTTTTTCCCTTTTTTTTCTTTTTTTTTTTTCGTTTTTATCCGTACAGCATACAGTGTTCTTGATTCTTAAATAATATAATATGAAACTATAAGAAAATTTGTGAAAATAAACAGATTAACAGTATCACATTTGAATATAACAACACATTCTGGAAGCTTTAATGAAACATTTGTATTTTTTTTAAAGGCGATTGTTATAAATGGTGATGATTATTATGAAAGTCTCAATTAATTCCTCCAAGGTCCCAGTACCCGAACGGGGATGGTTGTTCAATACAGGTGTTAAAAAACGTAGCGAGTGGTGGCGCTGCACCATTTTCCCGACAAATTCAATGCCATTTCGGGATAATTTTTTGTAGTACAGTATTGTACTATGTAATATCTATAGGTTAATTATCAGAACCAAAATACTACAAGCTGAGGTTAACAGGATGAAAGATGTAGCAGAGAGTGTTGAGTATGAAATCATGAACCCGTTGGTAGATTTATATATTTTACAGAATGACAAGATAGGAAAAGTTGTGCAGGAATATTTTCATGACGATGGTACAAAATGCAATTATGTTTTAAACGTAATTAATATGAATACAAAAAGAGAATGCTAATTAAATTAACGCAGCCATCTGTCGCACCTAACAAATAATAATTTGAGTATACCTGCTGGTCTGTCATTCCCATTATAACATTCATGATAAATATTGCGTCCATGTTATGTCACAACATCCATTGTAGTCATTATTCACAACAATATTCATAACAATATGTTAAATGGTCTACTACTGATTTTTTTTGCATTCCATTGGCCTGGAAAGATGGTAAAATTGAATCCCTGAGGGTGAGCCCTAGAGACGCAATGCCGTCTACAGATTGTCGGAAAAACGGTCCGTTGCGCGCACGTCGTGGCGTTGCATTCTCCATAAAATCGACAGTATCACACTCGCTGTCGTATACACAGTTAAGTAGCCCTCTTCTTTACCTGCAGAAGTGTAGGCCTACTATACATAATAACATTTCAGTCTCAAAGTGCTACTTTTTTCGCTTTTTTACTCTTTTCTGCAATGTCTGACCCAATTTTTCGTTCGTTATTTGAACTTTGTACGTCTTCTAGGTTCGTTCGGACCGGTCCCTGTTCGTAATAGGCCTATACAGATCATAATTTATGTTGACGTCAGGTCAGAAAAACGCAAATTGATGATTGTGAAGACGTTTGCTTAACCATAGATGATTGATTGATTGACTGATGAGGGTGTTAAATATTACTACGTTTGCCAGCGATGCTTGATCTCGATATTCGTACCAAATTAATAACTAAATGAGGACCAGGGGGAAAATCAACCTTCCCGGATGCCGAATGACCTAAACATGAGTTTGGAATAGGGCTAGGCCTAGGCATACAGTTATCACCACCAACAACAACAACAATTTACATTCAAATGTGAACTTTGGCAACACAGCAACATGTTTCCTATTATCTTTTGTTGCTTCTGACGTCAATGGAAATGTATCATAATTATGTCTCTTGGTGATTTACACAATACATGTGACAAAGTGGATTTTGGGGATTTTCCTATCACCAAATTCCTTAGTCCAACGCAAACAAATTCATATTCGAACGCTTGCTTTTATCTAGAGATTATAAGCCTCGCTATCAACAACAGGGAGAATTTAAAACAACCTTCACGTGGCCCTCCCAGCAAGTTACCCACCTGTGTGAAACGAATGCTTGCAAATGTAAATCGATGATTTGCAATGCATACGCGAGAAAGGATATGTGTCAATCAAACTTAACAACGGACAATCAGAATGGCTATGTTCTCACACGGCATCTAACGGTTAGCAGGATCCGGATCCTGCTAACCGTTAGCTGCCGTGCGTCCATACGAGAAAATCCCGATCCGGATAACAAGAGTATGATGATCGAATCACTAGCCAATAAGAAACTGGAAATTGTAAACGCGTACGTGTGATTGGTTGATGATAGAAACGTGTCACTTGCTAACCGATAGCGCTTGCTAACCGTTAGCGGTATCCGGATACTGCTAACGGTTAGCGCTAACAGATCGGGCGTTTTCACACAGGTGCTAACGGTTAGCTCCCGATCCGGATACTAGAGCTCTCGTGAGAACCAGGCTTATAGGACGAAGAATACGCGCATGTCTCACTGCTTTATCGTGTTCTCTTGCAAACGCTGACGAATACCCCATCGTTTTATGGGGTCTTAGCAACAATTTCCAAGGGGCGGGGCTTAGCAGAAAGATTCATTCTTTTCGAAGACAATATATTGGTTGGATACATTTTTTTTGGTGTACATAAAATGTAAATAGGATGATAAACACAACAAGGAATGGAACGTAGGTCTGATTGGAATAATAACTAGATTTGAGGTAAAATTCTGCTGTATTTTTTATGTCCTTGAGGGATACAGTAATTTTCCTCTGGTTACCTCGTCCTTAGCTTTAGAATTTAACCCGTTTGTCTTGTGCATAACAGTTACGGACTACATGTGCGCGGGAAAAAAGAAGATTGCCTCCCTGCAAACTGCAGACGCTGCTGTGGTCGGTCCGTGTCCTCAGTGGCCTAATCCGAATTCCCTTGCTGATTTTCTACAAAAATTGTATATATATATATATA